GCTCCGTTGTTTATTACTTTAAATGTCCAAGATGATAGCGATTATTGTAAAACCATGTAGGGGCTCATTAAGTGTGGGGTAGGGGGTGCGGGGGGCCTGGCCTGGCCTGCCTTCCCCCTTTTTGCAAAGTCAAAATAAAAGAAAAAAAAAGAGAAAGAAAGACAGAGAAATAATTTATTGCCCAAAACACCTCAGAGGTTATTTACGGGTGTTTAGAAAACATGCCCCTGGATCCCCTTGGCTAGTGTTATCTCGATCGGCCCCACTTTCGCCCCACCCCACCCTTTTTGGACATTTCTGGATCCGCGCCTGAGAGTAAGGCAACATGTACAGAAAGATGCACTATAATGACAAGACTTATTGTTTCTTACTTGTATTCTTGGCCCGCCGTGAAGAATAAGCCTTGGCCCACGTTCTTTCTAGAGACGATACTTGATCATATTGGAAAGCACCTATACCCTAATTATATTGTATATATTCAGACTAGATTTATTCGTAAATGGAATGGGCTACCAGTCAAAATTAGAGATTTTTTTTTATGTGATAGCTGGTCAAATTTTAAAGATATTTTAAAAAATCATTTTAAAAATATAGGCTTATTTAATTTCTAGTAATTCTGTATTGAATATTGTTTGTATGTATATTGTAAGCTTAGTGTTGGAGTGGCACGCCTTATGGTGACAGTTGTTCTCTTAGACCTCTTTTGCCACTCCCTGGTGCATTCAAATTTGTACCGTATTGCGTTTTTTGTTTCATATTTGCCGAAATTAATAAAATAACAATTTAATGGATCTTTCTTGTAAAAAATTCATTAACTCCTAGATATAAAAGTATTTATTGAGGGTGAATTCACCAACGTAAGAAACACTCTTCTTGATCATACACGGAATGGACATTTCAGCTAAGCCCCGCCCCTTGGATATTGTTGCTAAGATCCCACAAGTCGACAGGACGCGTTAACTTGCGTTCGTGGGACAACACGCTGTTCTGATTGGTCAGTTGTTAAGTGTGACACCCGGAAAGGTCTATTGTGATGATTTCAAACAATCAATTAAATTTTATATTTTGTAACACTTGTATATAATTGACAACTCTCAGAGCCAGTCTATCATATTGTTTATAGAGGAATTTCAATAATTATTCGAACAACAATGGACTTTAAAGCATTAAAGGAGTTTTCTTTGTTTATGTAGGCCTAGGTATCGTTGATCCTCTTACGGATTGTTAGGAATCACCGCCATAATATCATGCCTTTAAATTGGAAAATAATTTTGGTACTTATTGCATAGTATTATTATAAATCGCCTCTATAATATCATGTCGTGTATTTGGTTAATACCACAGAGAAAATAGATTCCATTTTCTCTATGGTTATTACGTTTGGTAATTACTGCATATAAGCCTGCAAAATATAGATAAATTCTTATTTCAGATGATCACCCAATAAACAGTCGAAATATTGTAAACAATCACGACAGCGTACATTTCATTTCTTGGAGAATGTATTATTTTTTCATTTTTAGATGGTTTTTGAATTTTTTATATTTTTATGCGGTTTATTTTTTCCTGTTTTTCTTTCGATTTTAATTGTTAGGTTTCAATTTGTTTACAAATTGTAATAAAAATTACTTTGAACTTAAACTTGAAAGCACTTGGCTTTTAGTTTCTATTTCCTGTTGTACGGTACTGATTATGGGATGCGATCAATAGTACTTTCTGTTGTATTGCGCCAATATAACTTGTTCCACATTCAAACTCATCAGGATGCCTCCATCAGTGCTGCCCATACCAGGCAATCACAAAAATATTTTACCAAGTAGAAAGAACGCCCTCTATAATACACGACGTGTCGGTAATGCGGGGAATCCCCTATCATACAGGGAGATATAAAAGAGACTGTCATCTATAAAACATATTTATTGCTAATTTATTGGCGTTTAAATAATACTATTCTATATTATCCTATAGTCGTTGGATATTATTTATACCCTACAATTTCCGAAAGCAAATTTAAAGTCTTTAGTAATAAAATTTCTACAAACCATTCAAAATCTGTAATTTATCGAAAGATGACAAATTCATAATTTTATAAATGTAGTTATATGAGCATTTCAAAATGTGTAACGTATCTGATTAATTCTTAGAGGAGGGGAACCAGGAGGAGCAAAAAAAAAAAGGGAAAAAAAGTGAGACGTGCTAGCGTGGGAATTCGACGATAGCAAGTTGGAAAGGGGTTGCCCGCACCCTCCCGAAAAATATACGTGTTCAGTTTATCCTGTGTTAAGAAATACTTTCAATTACCCGGTATATATTCCATTTAAAGTAGTTATTTGTAAAAATAAAATAAAATAAATTTATACATGGGCTGAACCAGGATTAATGCCTGACACTTCTCAGCACACCATCACGAAGCTTTAAAAAATGTACATCAGACTAAATGGCTTTTATTCTGTCCACTGATGTCATCCGACTCTTGTTTGTTGTCATGAGTATGAAATGCGCGTTTCCTTTTAATTTTTGTTTGCAGCGTTTTATTTTTGGTTTGCTGGTGATTTTTGTTTTTGTTTGCAGCGTTTCGTTTTTCTTATCCTTTTTTTTTTGCATTATTACTTTTTTGTTTGCAGCATTTCATTTTGTTTGCAGTGTGTCCCTTATGGGCCATTGTAGAAATTGAACCGGGGACCAAGAGAACACATGCTAACATCAGCTCTCACTCTAATGCTCCTGATCGTCTATCGGCAGTAAATACAGAAAGTAGGAATGATATACTTGAACATTCCTACTAAAAGATTTATAACTGTTTTAAAAAGGCAAACAAATACCAAACAATGGATCTAAAGCTACAAATATTCAAAATAGCCAAATGAATTGTGAAAACCATCAGCCCTGAGGAAATCATACAGTTTGATATTTATTCAGGTATAAAGACATATACAATTACAAAGAATATAAAAGTAACGACATATACAAAAATATAGTATCTATATTATTATGATTACTATTATTGCTACAGTTCTAATAAATACAGAAAAGCGGATTTGTGTTGTCCCATATTCTGTAAACATTTAATTTGATTTATTTCACTTCTCGACAAATTGTGTTTAGAACCTCGTGGCCCAGTTCTACCCAAAGGAAAAGACCTGCCCTCTCCCGCATCTCGGCGCCCCTGTCCCACTGGTCTACTAACTGAACTTTGTATGTTTAAATTGATGAATGAAATGTTCTTGTTTCGTGTATCTTTTGCTTTTTGTCAAACATAGCTGGAAACTCTTTAGAAAATGATTAAATTCACTATTATTTTTTTTAGGCTTTCATTTAACACAATTTTTGTTGGCAAATTGTTTGCTTTTTTTTGGTATAATACTTATCCGAATAAAATATATATGAAATTAAGTAACAATAATAATTAATAAGCAAACACGTAAGTAATACACAATAATATGTAATAAACAAATAGAACAAGTAACTAGTTTGTAATATTTATTTGTTTACTTTTGTGAGTGCAAATATTTTTAATAGTTAAAACAAAATATGTAGTCCTGTTTATTATTTGTGATAAAGTTTGTGTAATGTAATTAAGCTTCACAAATATGAACAAATGTTAAGTACAAATTACCAGAGGTCAACCATTCTATATATTATTTATTTCATATTATATTCTCAAAGTATTAAATAAAATACAATTAATTATATCCACCAGTATAAATATAGTGAAGATTTTAGAAATATGATTCTAAAGAACCGTTTCGTCTGACGTCACAAGTCCAGCAATGACTGCCACCTGCTGGAGAACCAGCGAAACGCAAATCAACCTTGATGCATTCCATACCAAGTTTCTCGAAAAGTCTTTGAGTAGGAATCTCGTTTGCATCTACAACCACCGGTTATGGTCCAACATCGGAACATTCATTGACATCCATGTTGAAGAAAACCACATCGGGTGATCTGTAAAAGGTGCACAGAAGAAAGTCTTATAGAAATATAATTGTATAAATTACACTGAAATTTGTGTTCGTTTTATTGACTGAAACAGATAATGATGGAGCTGACACTGTAGACCTACTGTACTGACAATAGAAAATATTATGATAATGTAGCAATGATGTTCACTGCAACAAGGATGGCAACGAAAAAACGACAGCAACAGCAAAGGACACAGCACAGTCAAATCAAAGTCACAGTGACAATCACAGCTACTGTCATAATCACAACAACAATCATAATACAATCATAATATCACTTCTTCTCAAGTTTCTTCTTCAAATTCTCAAAATCATTATGAGAGTTACAAGAGCAATTTGATTTGATTTTGAATTTATTCAGCAATCAGAGTAAAATACAAAAACAATGAAGACAAGACAAGGAAAAGCAAATACAATTAAAAACTCAGAAAGCAAGGAATAGCCCAAAAAGGTTTCAAAGAAACATATTTCCATTAGAATCCTGCAAACGAAACATTCAATTGCTAAAAGGAAGAACAGCAATAATTTTTTTTTAAAAAGGACACTCTGTTAAAATTAAAAAAGAATTATTTACGATTTGAAAGTAAGAAAAGGTAAAAAGATCAACAATTTCAAAATGTAAAAACCAATAACAATATGACTGGCTTCTAAAAGTCTTTCCAAGGCATATTCTGATATAATTCATCATTATATTCATTTGATATATCTTTTAATATACCGCTTGGTGTTACTGGATGAGATGCCTCAACAACATCCCACCCAGCCTTTGAGAACAGCTCTATCTGATAGCAAGGTCTTTCTGGGTTGACTAAAACCAGGTCAGGTCTCAATAAGCACAGGGATGCATCTATATGCATCGGAGCATCGTAGAAGTCACTCAACACCCATTCGGTTTGTTGTCTGAGATTGTAAATAACAAGATTGGTATCCTCAGTAAAACGTTTTATTGAAAAGTGATTTACTATAGACCTACAGTATAACAGTAAAACAACATAAACAATATAGAACTCACGTGACTTAACTTGTCCTTTCCAGCACATTGAAAATCAGCAGCATCGAAGCAAGGTTCAAATTCTGTCGTCACAAATTGACCTCTAGCTGGTAATTCTAGTCTCTCATGGGATCCAATATAACCCTATAAAAGGTTTAATAAATAAATATTACAATTCATAACCGAGTTCAAACTCTGACCAAGATTAGTGTACCATTGATTTATGTTTGTTAGTTGTGTTGGCCTTGCATCAATATATTTTGCAAAGAGAAAATTAAACAATAATGACACAATCCCCTTTTTTTAAATTTATTTATTTATTTACACTCTCATTCTACAGCGGGAAACCCGCCACTTACAGAATGGATTAAAATATTAAACATTAAAATATGGCAATATGATTAATATAATAATATTAATAATAATAATAATAACAGTAACAATAATTCATCTTATACAATTTTACAAATTTTCTTACAAAAACATCCATAACTGTTAAAGAAAAGGTCAATAGAGTTGTCTTTTTTAATTCCAGTGTGTGAAGTCTCTTTTCGCATATGAGTGTAAACACCATTTTGGTGACCAGATACAATAGAAAGTAAATTTTGTATAAAAATTGTAATTCAGAACTAAAGAAAATGGAGCTGAATGAGTCGATCGGAAAACTCTAGCAAAGCATATTTCCAGGGAAAGTGAAAGAGACATTTAGACAAGTACCAACAACTCTTTGCACAGAAAGAAATAAAGAGAACCATGTAAAGTTGGAAAGACCTTGAAGAAATTCCTCAGTATAGACAGATTATCATCATCATTTTATACCCCAAAAGTCTACTTCTTCGTGCAGTTTCGCTTTCTCTTTTACCTTTTTGCCTAACGATCCTGATAGATTACTGATAGAACTTGTGCTTTTTCCATATCATCTCTATGATTTTTTTTTTCCAATTGTTGGTGGTACTTCTGATTCCATAAACAAAATTTGTTTCTGCCACTTGTCATTTGACATCCTTGGAGTGGAGTGAGCGGGGACAGGGGAATTTCCCCCCATCGGACAGACCTAAATCCCCTATCGTCCGACGCACGCGACTATTAAGTCGTCGGATCAAAAATTAGAAATGATTTGCCTATCAAAATGACGTTATTTTGAATGCCAATCCTAATATTGTGGTCTAAAAGCACATTTTGGACCATACTAAGCCATAAAAGCTCTCACCATGAACCCTACAAGAGAGTTTTTATTCCGGCCGTCGACTGAGGTTTTGTCGCTCCTGCTCGGAGCCCTCCGTTGAACATGTCAGATCCATTGTCGGCAAATTTCTGGCGCCACCGCTGGTAACATGTGCAGTGTAGGTACATGATGGCGCATTGGTAACAGTGAAACAGCAACACCACGCCACATTTAACAATTTTTATTAGAAGAAAATGTTAAATTGAAAGGCTCTTTATAGAAACATCTACTGTAAAGCATAATGCAAAACATCATAGTATAGTACCTACCATGTCATAAAGCTCATCGCTCATTTGTGGTTTAGGGGCTGTTGTCCACTTGGCGCCCTCTCTGAAATATTCTTTCATCAAACGGCGGTATGCACGATATTCAAAGAAAAGACATCTCCATGCCATTGGACTTTCAATGATTTCTCCACCAACCACAAGCAGAAGATCACGTGTCATCGCTGAATACAATCCTACATACCAACATATTTTTTTTTAACGATCTTATTGGTTTGGGAATGGCTGCATTTATGTACCACTCTTGATTAGTACAGTAGAAAAAAACATATAAAACAGAAATATTATAATCATTATTGAACAGAGATTACGAATACAATCTAGGCCTACCACTTGTCACATGAATATACCAACACACATTAACACTTGGCAATCATTGAATTGGTAATTGACAGCGTCGAATGTGTCATGAAGACACCTTTTAAGGTACTGTAGGATGTTAATTCAACGACTCACCCGTGGGCAAAGTGTAACCTGCAAGCCACATTTTGTTGCTGCTCACGATAACCCTGTGTACCTTGGATACAAAACCCTTTTGTTTTTAAGGCCAGATATATCTCAGACCCAACACTACTGTGCGGCACCAACAATAAAAATGCATAGTAAATTCTAATATACTATTGTCCTATTAGCATTTGAATGAACTTGTCAGGCCGTCAGTTTACTTACCTGTCGAGCTGAAATCAGGCGAGGAATACGATTTCAAATGATCAAGTACATCCGGCCGTCGAACCTTCACTCTTTCATGTTCAAAAATTCGGCAAAACTCCGCAATCTCTAACGAAGCCTTCCTCTTGTGATCTCTTTAAAAAAATTCCAACTTTTTTCGGGGACGACAGCCTTAAGTAAAGAATTAGAAAGAAACAGAGTTACTATATTATGACGTTTTTACAGACCAACACAATCAAAACCATAACCACCCTTGCGTCATTGGTTCCCATAGTCAGTAGGGCCATCGTATTCGTCGATAGATTAGGTCCCCTTCCTTTTGAGTATGTGGGACATAGCTTTTCATCTCAAGAAGTTACCACTGTGTAAAAGGTTAAGCCATGAATTAGCAGCTCGCATGCCTAACGCAGCTCATCTTGCTCACAATAGAAAGAAATTAAAGTTAAATTAAATGGAATGGACGTCTTTCGTTTTCTTTATTTGCGTCAACGCCAGCTTGCGGCTGTGGTTGCGTCTGATGCCAGCTAAGCCTTAAGCTAAAAAAAAAACCCGCTGCATTTTCTCTACAGTATAGTACAGTACGGACGAAAATGAAGTTTGAAGTTTTCCGATTATCAGTCACAGAGTCTATTTTAGCATTCATGACCGGCCTACCTAGATTTCTGGCGTTAATTCTGGAACGGTGGCGTTCTCAATTCGTCTGACGATCACTTCTTCTAAAGGATCCCATTCATTGAAGGAGCAAACTGGGTTTTTAGCAACTTGGGCTTTCTGTTTGTTGAATGGCCGAGTACTTCTCGACTGTGTCAAAACTTGATATATACTGCCAAAGATTTTCTAAAATATATTACAATAATCTTTCTTAGTAAACAGTAATATTTACCTATACTATATATATATAAATTACTCCCTTCCTCCATTCCCTCCTTTCATGGAAATTTAGATGTTATTCCATAAAACATATTATCTTCCTTTATTTTCAGCCTACTTCCCCACCACATCAACCATCGCAAATGACTGACACCACTGATGACCACAAACACCACCACCACCGCAATCAGCACCTGCCACCACCACCACCATGATAACAGGGGGCACAAATTGAAAGAGGGCACTTCCGAAAGATTGGTTAAATGAGCTTACGAAACACATCCAATTATACTTTGCTCACTTTGTGATACCTATCGCAAGCTGTATTCAGAATAATACAGCAGTAAAAACATGCAAATATCATTAGTTTTTGGGAGTTGGGTTAGTTTAAAAAAAAGTTTGCTTGGTTGAGTAAGTGCAGGAGGCTGTCTGAATTTCACAGGTTGCGGGACACTTCAGACCCCTATAGACGAGTCGAGTATCAAGGCAGGGGCGCCGCTAACTACAGCCCTAACATCAGCGGTGGTTCCAGCCGCTCCTCGCCAATAGTTTGGTTCTTTAAACCAAGTCTTCTCGGAAAAGGACTTGGAAATGGAGGTCCAGTGTACACATCTGATAAGCGACTCTTTACGGCTGCTAGTTAGTCATGAATCATGCCCATGTGCAATTCAGCCGCGAGTTATGGGTTACTCTCCTACGTTTCGTAATAATGCATCATGAGTGGATTTCTCGCACGACAAAAATCGTAATGGTACTGGGCTTGGTCTACAGGAGTTTGTGCTTCAAACAGGTCATTCCATTCTTAGAAGAAGCATTTTGATGGAGAAAGTGCACCTTTTTAGCAAGGTTTGCCTAGGTCGAAACTAACTCCGGCTATATAAAATATATTAGAAGTTTGAAAAATGTTATTCTTATTAAAGAATAGATATGGAGAACTACGTTTATTTTTTATTGATCTAATCTATGTCAATTAACATTTAGAGTTAATAATTATAATTGTTTAAGTATAAATTTAAAATTACAAATATTATGGGAATAATCCTCTAAGTTTATAATAATATTTGATAATATTTAAATATAGCAAGTAGTAACTAATATTACAATTATGTTATTGTTTATTGAAGTCTACAAAAAAAAATAGGAAGGAAAAAAAACAAAGAGGTCCGGAGCGGCTTACATTTGTACCAAATTTATATAATAACGATAATGGCTCGTAACTATATTTTACGTGTTTGTAGTAAATTTTGTAGTAAATTTTGGACACTAATCATCAAAGTCAAGTTGTCAAGTCTACATGTTTCATAATTGCATGTTTGAAGAAGTGCTTCCAGGAGCTTCTCATGATACGCAGGAAACTTGGGACACCTGTGATAATAATGTGTTCAAATAAATATAGAATGAAATGTGTTCCAAAAACCTACTTCAACAGGTCATCCTTTCCTTCCTTCTGAAGAAACTTGTTGAATTATTCCAATGCTTGTTTGTCCTGGAATATCTCCTCCAGTAAAATGACCATCATTGGTCCCACGCCATCCTCCTCGTCCCAGTTGCGGAAATACCTCTGATACTCGGGGCCCCAACTTGCCTGATACGCCGTTCACAGTGAGCTTTTGCAAAGCGACACTTTCCTAGAAGGAAAACAATTAATAATGCACAGAGTATTTATTATATCTATATTATATACTTGTTTATATTATGTTTATCATATTTTTATATTTATTATAGTGGCGTAACAACAAATCAAAATGTTGTGGCAACGTGTATTAGCAATTGATTAAGAGTGTGGTTGAATGTGTAGTTGAATAGCCTGTCTCTTATACACATCTAGATGTGTATAAGAGACAGGTTATGGGTTACTCTCCTACGTTTCGT